GGCGTAATATAAAATATATATTTTATAGTTCAGTGACTGAACAKTTCAGTGTCTTTATTGCTACTACCTAAATACCTATTTAATGTTTAAGAAAAAATTAAGTTTTATCTTTTTAATATTAGGTACTTAATTATTTTTAGGTACAGTTATATAAGATAAAATATATGAATTTTAAAATATACAATTTTCATAATATTAAATTTTACAATAATCAGCTGTAATCTGTATTCCGTATTGTGGTATTCGATTTCGAAAACTACCAAATCAGTAAGTAACTATTGGTTTTAAAATTAGGTGGTTAAAAATTTAAAACTTCGGAATGTAATATTCCCCAATCTATACAGTTGTAAGTTTTTACATCATGTACATACTACATACTAAATTTAATATRAATGCTAGTATGAAATTCTTTATAGTGAACCGAAATTTGCCAAAACCAAAATAACCGAAATCGGTTAAATTCGGTCAAAACCGAAATAACCGAAATCGGTTAAATTCAGTCGAAACCGAGTTTAAGGTTCGGATTCYATAACTTCCTCGATAACTACAAATGTTGACGAAACTGAAAAATCATATTATGAACCTAATCGAAAATAGTCTAAAAAAATAAAACATATGATATACCAAAATATTGCCTTCCAACTGGACCAGTAGATGAACTTTTTCATGGTAAAACGGTTACATCGGTTTTTCTTRAACTTTTAGACGGCTTTCTCGATCATCCTGTTTTTGAAACAAATTTATATGGTACTCAAAGAGATAAAATACTGAACGTAAAACGACACGAAATGTTRAATTTTATTGGAATTAATTTTTTCATGGGTTACCTTAAATTACCTAGCTGGAAAACTATTGGTCAACTTGTCCAGATCTTGGTGTTAATTTAATTTCTAATACAATGCCACGAAATAGGTTTGATCTAATATTAACAAATTTACATGTACAGGACACTTTAATTCCTCCGAATAATATAGAAAAACTTTTTAAACTTAATCCATTGATTGATTATTGTACTGAAAAATTTTCAAAATCATATTATGGCACGAGGGAATTATCAATAGACAAGTCTATGATAGTTTTTAAGTGAAGAAATAGTATGAAACAATACAATCCTATGAAGCCGATAAAGCGTGGATATAAAATATGGTGTATGTCTGATCAGAATGGTTATATAAAAAATTTTAAAATATACCAAGGTAAAGACGAACAAGACGTGTCTGACGAATTCAAACATTTAGGGCTTGGAGAAAGAATCGTACTTAAACTGTCTAAAATTGAGTGGAATAAAAATAGGTGCTTCATTTTTGACAATTTTTTTACGTCTATTCCTCTTTTAGAAAAACTTAAACTCGAAGGTTGTTTAGCTTATGGCACTATTCGACCAAATCGTAAAGGTTTACCAAAATTGGCTGATGATACAAAATCTAAAAGGGGAACTTATGACTACCGCATATCTGATTTAGGTATTAGCGTCTTTAAGTGGAAAGACACAAAAAAGGTTCATTTTGCATCAAATTATCATGGATCTGAGGTCACAACAGTTTTACGTAAAAACAAAACTGGGGAAAAAATAATATCACATGTCYACAAGTTGTCAAAGACTATAACCGTTTTATGTGTAGCTTAGATCACGCAGATCGATTGCACATGTCGTATGGAGTAGATCGGAAGTCAAAAAAATGGTGGCACAGATTATTTTGGGGTATTCTAGATATAATGCTTATAAATGCATTCGTAATCTATAAGGAACGGCATGGAAAAATACAATTTTCGGTATTTCGGCGTCAAGTTGTACGAAGCCTTTTATCTGAAAATATTTAACGATATTCGTACTCCGTTCTATGATATCGTTTTCTTCCATTTTCGATAGTTCTGCCTCAATTATAGGTAACTGCGCATGCGGTAGCCTATATGGTTT